AACTTGGTGAGATTGTTGAAGCACTCAAAAAATTTACCGAGGATAGGACACCATATCTTTACGAAGAAGTTATGTCAATGGAGAAAGAAGGATTTTGTGACGATTTTCTTTGTGAGGTCTTCGATTTTCTAACCAAGAATGACCTTGAGGCCAAAACTTTCTTGACTAAAAAAACAAAGCATAGGAAAATTTGACTTCAGAAGTTTACCCAAGGTTAAGATGTGAACTTTAAATGTAGTGTATAATAATTTATGAATTGGACAACATATTAACTCTAATGTGTTGTAGTATAGACTTCAGTACTTGTATTGTTGGATTGATGTGTTGTAGCACTAATTATGAATTAGACTATGTATGATTATGGTTGTAAATTGTTGTTGTTTTAATTTGACAATATTATTATTAGCAAAATGTTATGTACTACTGTTGTTTTAATTTGGTGTACTATTAATTAAACATTCTTAGGATTTATAAACTTTTATAATATATTTTTAATCAATTATTAATATTATCTAAAATACTTATTTTTATAAAATATAATTATATATAAAACAATTAACCTTTAAAAAAATAATAAATAATAAAACATATTCAATATGTATAGCTTTTCATTAAAAATAGATTCTGAAAACAGTTTTCAGGAAAATTACCCAAACAGTGTAAAACATTTTACAATGAACCATCCAAACATTGAAAAATGTTTTACATTTCTGAAAAACATTTTTCATATTTCATTTTCCGTAAAATATTTTCTGTGAAACAAACAGACCTTAATGTATGTGTGTTTCAATTTTGAAATGTTCCTATTGTTCATAGAATAAATGACAGCAAATGTATTGGCTTTATTCAATACATAATTAGCAGTCCATGCGGTAAATTTTTTACATTCATATTGCAATAAAAAAAATTAAAGTTTGTATATTGATAATCTCAAATTTATCAAACCTGTGATATTTGAACATATAATATTTTAATTTTAATAATATCGTACGAATTGTCTAGCTGTTATCTAACGATCCATACCTAAATTACTTAAGTATTTGTCTAATATCTTAAAAACATATGCTATATTTAAATGTGTACAAACCTAAACATATATTAAACTCTCCACCATCGAAGAATAATGAAAACTTTACATTTCATAAAATATTATATATAATGAACATATATAATAATGACTCAAAGCTAAACGAAAATAACATTTTTAATATATATAGCGATTCATACCTTCAAATCGAATTTGCAGAGATTGTCCGAGAAGTTCAGACAATGAATTAGAGTTTTCTTGACCATAATTCGATTCTTTGTTGCTTTTAATGGAAGTCTAATCAGTTTCTTTAGAGGTGCAAGGGATGTTAGGCAGAGAGACCATCTTTCTCTGTGTCTGTTCTCCTTTCCATGAATGTGTTGTCCAAAATGCTCGACATGGCTGTTCGTCGCGGTAACTTTCAGCTTCACCCAAAGCGAAAGAAAATGGGTTTGACGCATCTTTGCTTTGTCGACGATCTCCTTATCTTCTCTAAGGGCTCTATGGATTCCATTGTCGGTATACAAGTGTTCTAAATTGTTTCTATGATTTCTCGGATTTAAAATTGAATGTGACTAACTGCAATTTATTTGCTTCTGGGGTCCCTGTTGATGAGTTGGTTAGAATCGGTGCCTATTCTAGCTTTAAGATTGGTTTGCTCCTTATGAGATATTTGGGAGTCCCTTCGGTTACGAGAAAATTGTCGGAAAATGATTGCCAGCCGTTGTTAAATAGCATTAGAAATATACTGGAGCTGTGGCCAAATAAAAGGTTGAACTACGCGGGAAGATTACAGCTGATTTGTTCTATTTTGTTTAGTATTGTTAACTTTTGGCGTAGGCAGCTTTTGCTTCCTAAAGCGGTGGTGAAAAGGATCGAGCAGATTTGCTCACGGTCTTTCTGGAAGGGCCACGATTCATCGGCTTCCGGCGCTAAGGTGTGTTGGAGAAAAATCTGCTTTCCAAAATCCGAGGGGGCTCGGTCTAAAGGACTTGTTCTGCTGGCAACTCTAGGATGTTGAGAACGAGGGATTTCTGGTTTGAAATTAGAAGGGAGGACAAGGTTCCTTGGAACAGGCTAATTTGGTTCCCGTTACACGTGCCAAAACATGCTGTGATTTTGTGGCTTGCACGTGCCTAAACGATCGATGTGTTCTATGCGCACAACGACAGAGTCTAGAAAGCACATTTTTTTTTATTGCCAATGCCACTTAATAGAATAGAAAATAAATCGGTAAAAATTAAATATTCTAAGAAAATGTTATGTCAAAACATTAAGAATAAAATTTTCTAGATTTATAAGTGTACTAAAATTTATCGATGGAGATTGTTTTGAAGGTTTTCATCTTAAAAAGTATATATTTTCTCTTATCAAACTTGGGATGGAAAAAAATACATTTTAACATATTTATTAGAAATCATTGTATTTTTATACAATTAATTATTGAATATATTTATAACAGCGTTATACATTATATATATATAGGTGCCAATACTTACATATTTTAATCGAACATATATTTTGTTAAAAACATAAGTATAACTTTAAAGCCAAGTGAAACATGGGAGGGGCTATGTCCTCAAATTTTGTTTTGGTTTAATTCAATTTTAAGTCCCTATAACTTTGAATATTAGTTAAATTAATCTTTGTTTAAGCATTTCATAAATTAATTGAAACAATTTCCAGGTTGAGATGTGTTGATATTTCATTGACTGGTGCTTCTGGCCAACTAGAAGCTGCCATGATCATTAATAGACGGCAGCATGGTCGGTAGCTGCCGTGAAATTACAATTTTGGTAATGAAATAGTGTTGGCAGAAAATGATTGTCCTTTTATTTCAGGCATTAATTCTTTTGTTTCATGTATCGTCCACCAGGTTCCATTGTTGCGCACAACCCCCACATTAATAAATACCGCCCAAACAGGTAACACCCACAATAATTGTGACAAATCATCACTCATTTAATTAGGAGGATAAATTATACAAATAGTGTCCTGATTATAAGGCATTAGTTCATTAAATTACTTGATTATTAAAAATTATAAAATGGTTTTTTGATTATAAGATGTCGTTTTTTATGTCTCTTGGATATTAAAATTGTAAAATAATTAACTAACTATTCATATGTTTTAAATTTGTCATTTTTCGTTAAAAATTCGAAGACTACTTGAGTTGTACGTTAATCTGCTCACTAAGATATTATAAAAATTTGATTTCAAATTGTTTGAGTTATATTTTGTGGATCGAGTATTTGTTTACATTATATTATTGAGTCAATTCTTAATATATTATTTGGTCGAGAGTTCTTGAAAGCAACGAGGATGTCAATATACATCATTAAAATATAGTTTTATCATATCTTAGTTCAGAAAGCTATTAGATTTTTAATAAAAAATAGACGAGTTTGGAACATATGAATAGTTGGGCGACTATTTTATAACTTTTAATAGTCGAAGAACTCAAAAAATTGTCACCTTATAGTCGGAGAATCATCTTGTAAGTTTTAATAGTAAAAAATTCAATAAACAACACTTTATAATCGAAGGACTACGTGTAGTTTACCATAATTAGAATACCATCCATAAACTCCCAAGAAATTTTTGGAAAAAAGAGAAACTTGTTAAGAATTGATTATTTTTTAATAAATGAATTAGATTTATTTACGAAGTACATTTCTGAAAAATATAATTACATTCAGAAATAAAGTTAGGATTTCAGCTCAAAAGTCAAAATATAATTATATCTTTGTGGGTTTTTTTTTATAGTTTTTTACTATTGTATCTATTTTTCTCTCTATGATTATATGCGTTATAATTTTGTTTTCTTTCGTTATTTTTATTAATGAAAACTCCTTTTATTATTTTTACTAATGAAATCTATTTGTCATTGTTAAAAAATTACTTTGTTCTTAATTAGATGTTTCTGTCACGTAGACTTCAAGTTTTCTTGAATCCCTGCAATAAAATAGAAACATGTATAATCCTTTAAAGCTAAAATTCCTTTGTATTTTCAAGTTTCCTTGAAAAATATTTTAATTTTATATATTTTTGTGAAACGTGTATAATCATTATGAATTTATTTATTTTTAATGAAATTACCTTTATATATTTTAATCATAATTTAAATTAATATATATATATATATTATAATATTAAAGAATTTAAATATAATATATATTATATATTATAATATCAAACTAAAATAACTATTAGTTTTTCAAAAATATTCTTTTAACAATAATACTAAACACTTAGATAGTCCAAAAACACCTTTCAATATCAATTTTCAAAATCAATAATCAACGCAAAGTTTAAAAGTTAATTTATGGATTTGAAATGCTCATATGATTGTTGCAGTAGAGTTTAAACTCTGTAATTTAAGAGATTGGGAGGAGACCTAATCTCTAAGAATCTTTATGTCGTGATGATGTGTAATTTTATTTGCGTAAATTTTATTACAATCCTTATTTTATTTATAATTTTATATAAATTTTAAATAAAATAATTAAAATTTATTTTAATTATTTGAGGTTAAAATATATTAGTATAAAAATTAGTATAAATTTTTTTATCATTTCATCAAATAATTTTCTATAAATACATTTCTAATATGAAATTTCCCCCCACCTGTATCATAATTTATTTAAGAGGTAGAATCATGGCATAAATTGATTAAATTATTTAATAACCATGATTGTCATGGTCACTAGCAACTAGCGTATACAAATGTTTAGTGACGGATCCAAAAATTTAGAGATGAAAATTTAAAATTTTAATATTTTTTAATAAAATGAGTGCGTAAATTTCTCTTTTTCTCTCTCTTCCTATTGATACACTAAATTAAATTTAACAATAGTTTTTAAAAATAATGAACATATATTTACTCTATAAATGGCTTAGTGCATCCGTCCTGTGAATGTTGATATAAAAGAGTCTAAAGAAGGAAAATGAAGAGTATGAGGTTAATATTATATAGAAGAAACAGACCATAAGTTGCATTAATATTAAATAAAAACAGGTAATGATAAACATTTGATAGTCGCATTAAGCGACCTAGTACACAACGAAAACAAGTCTAAAACTAGGACAACGCCTGCTATCCCTACGGATTTTTAACATCCATTTTATTTGATACTTTCATACTTTTCCCTTCCCGTTAGCTGGCAGCCTTCCGTGGCCAATTCTTTCACTTGATGCTGCAAATGCAACAACAAAATCAAAACATTCATCGATTAATAAATTGATAACCATAAGCAATTAACTCACTAAGTGTTATATCCAACAAATTTGGGTAATTTTCTTTCGTCGTAATTTCATTTAGATTGGATACGAACCTGTTGCAGTCAGTGCTGGGGCTGATCTTGTAAGGGATGTTGACGCCGCACTTGCCTGGGAGACCACTTGCAAGGTTATAATTGATGCCAGGAATGCTTCCAGCCGCATTTTTTATGCAGTTGCAAGCCGTTTTGCGGTCTGGTGTTGATGTGGCGGCGCTGTTGAGATCTCTGATCCCTTTGCAGCAACCTGGAGGAACATTACCGCCACTCCTCAAGTAAACTATGCAGGGTGCGAGGGAAGTAGTGACTTGACCACAAGTTATGGCCCCAGCCAATGGTGTACCCACAACCAAGCACAACACCATCACACATGCAAGCTTAAGGGATATAAAGCTAGTCATATTGATTAATTGCAAGAAACAACGAACGAGAAGTTGAAAGGAAAGTGTTGTGCGAGTGCTAATGATTGTTGTGTGGTTAAGGCTCGTGGGCTTCGAGTGCTTTTATAGCCAGAAGTTGAGCGTAGGGTTACGGAAAGAAACTGAGATATACGTATGAATACATCAGCGTTGGTAGTTGGTTGAATTCAATGCAAGGGTTCTTTCTTCCTCTTATTGTTGAGTGCCTTTAATGCTTTGAAAAAGCTTTGTATCTACCCTTTCGTCTTCAATAATAATAATAATACTGAACTACTCCATTGTTTAGTTGATCATATATGTTGGGATTTTAGTAGGATCTTGGCTTAGCAATTGTAAATATCAAAACGTCCTTTGGTGAGCCAAATTAGCTAATCTAATCACATGAAATTTAGTTTCCTGAAAAATACGAATCAAAGAAACGGTCCTCTTGGAGACCAAAGTTTCCTAATTTCTGCCTAACTGCCATGTGATTTTACGTTCGTTTTTTCTTTGCTTAATCCACAAACTATTTCTTCACGTCGTCATTATTTATGCATGTGCACATCTTGCTATTGTGTATTCCATATGAGACTAATTAACCATTTTCCCTTGAAATATGAGACTGATCAGTTGCTTTTTTCTGTTTGAAATTTTTATATTTGTCAATTTGGAATATGATAAAAAAAACACAAACATATAAACTATTTTAAATTCGGATGGTAAATGATCCGAGCTGGATCGAGTAAAGTTGTGTCCATGTTTATTTGTTTTATTTTTGACGGTGTTCTTGTTTAGTTCATGTTCTTTTAAATTTTTTGTATCATGTTTGTTTATTTATTTTCGAATGTGATCGACCATTTTTATCCGTTAACGCTCGCAAACATATTCGATAGTGCTATCAACACTCTATTTTTACCCTTTATATTTGCAAACTAAAGAAAATGATGATTATGCTTATAGTCCTTAATTTCTTTATGATTTACAATTTGAACTCCAAAGTTCACATTATATTCAATATAGTCTATACCTTTGTCAATTATTAAAATTTAAAAAAGAAAAGAAAAGAAAAAGAGAATCAAATAAACGAGCCAATTAACAAGCTAGTTCGTGAATATTGGTGTTCGAGTTCCTTTTTTAAAAAAGAGAACCACTGATCGTGTTCTTTTGTTTATTAAATAAACATAAGAATTTTGTTCATACTTATTTATTTAGCTTAATAAACGAATATTAGACGAGCGGTTTTTTGGATGCTGTGTTCATTTAACCCCTATTTTATGTACATGTATTTTTTTCAAAAGTAATTAAGGTAAATTTTGTTAATCATTAAATTCATATATATTATATATGTTGTTTTATAATTTTTTTATTTGATAAGGGGAGGGGAGGGGAGGGATTGTTTTATTATGTTTTGGTTTTATTGCTTCTCTTTGGTTGTTGTAAATATTTTTTTAAACTTTTTGAGATTTTTTTATTTTTTTATTTTTATGTTATTTTTTAAAATTATTAAATCGTCTTATTCAACCTGTTAAACTAAAAATTGAAAGTTTAGTCTATTTCATCTCCATTTAATTTTTTTAACCAATAATACTTATTATGTACAGAAATACTTATTGAATAAGAATAATTCCATTTTCGTTATTTTTTGACTTATTTTTTATTTCTTAGCAATGAAAAAAAAAGGACAATAAAAAAAATCAACTACATAGTTTGATAAAATCTAACCAGAACCAGCCATGTGTCAAGTCAAGGACATGGTGAGAAGGAGTTAGGTTAACGAGGCTGATTTCAACCACAAAGTGGCCTGATAATGACATTAAACAAGAGCCCCAATTGGCCACATTTCTTCGATTTGATTTATGACCACCGCCAACCTCCTCTCACTTCAATTACATATTTCTCTATTATTTTCATCTTCGAGTGGGGAAGAATGAACAAGTAAATTGTTGATCAAATTTCACTAAGCTTTACTGAAATTTAAATTCTAATTGACCGAGTTCGGAGAATTGCAGAGTTAAAAAGAGTTGGTTGGTTTTGAATCTGACTTTTGAGGATTAAATTGATTAAATTATAAATTTAGTAGCTTAAGCTAAATACTTTTCTTAAATAAAGATCATAATGAATGTGAATTTAAAAGCTTGATGTTTAATCACTAAACCCTACGGTTCTTGAGGGACATACATGGTAATTTCCTTGATTGTGTTAAATGATGAGAAAATTGCAAAAGTGAGCATTGTCACACCTTGAAGTCGGGGTTAAAATTTTCTATAAAATAAATAAATAATTTGGGTTAACAAGGTTTGACCCGTGTTCAATAGGGGAGAGGTGTGCCATTTGTCTACCATCTAAACTAAGATGCTATTTGAGATTAAATTAATAAAAATATATTTTCTAGTTGGGATCAGACTATTTTGGCAAAAACCAATCCCTTTCCCCGTTTTAGAAACAAAAAAATAAAAAATAAAACAAACACCCAAAATCATTCCACCGACCCATACCACCCCACCACCATCGACCTTGTTGCTCTGGCCAGCCATGAGGTGCATCGTCGCCGCCAGAGGTTTCACCATCATCGTGAGGCCCAACCCCAACCGTCGTTTACCCAAAATTGATCGTCGTTCTTCGAGGATTTAGGTAAAACTGTGCGAAACCTCTAGCGTTCGCCTATGTCATCGTTCGTCGGTGAACATCACCGCCACCACCATCATGAGTGCCACCCTCGACCGATCAAAACCTAGTTCCCTTTTTACGTAAAGCCCAATCATTCGTCGTGGAGAACTTGTCGAAGGGTTGTCAGAGTTCAAGTTGCATCGCACGGTTCTTGTTGATTTTCAGCCCTTTTAGTCGCTGTTGCGCCACACCGACACCACCACAAGACTCTTGAGTCGTTTACCTATCGATCTGGAAATTTTGATGCCGATCGATGACCGAAGCCGCCGCACGCGTCGCCCTCTACGCATGGGCATCGTCTGCTAGCCAAGGGAACCTGTTGACCAGTTTAACCGATCTAAATCGGATGGACTGGTTTAGACCGAGCCGACTAAGCGAGTCGATCGAGCCTAGTTGACTGAGCCTACCGGCGTTAACTGTTGACCGACGTTAACTTTTTCCTGGGAACACCTATTCTAACGTTTTTCGATGCTCTGAATCCGTTTTTGAGTTATGTTTTGCCAAATTCAAACCTGATAAGCTTTTTTCAGCATTTTACCTTCTAATTCGATCCGTTTTTTTGCTATTATGTTATGTTTCTGATATAATTCGTTTTGTATGTATCCGAGATATTTTTTGGCATTGGATTCAAGTTCGAGAGTGACTGAATGGAGTTTAAATGGTCGATCGAAATAGCTCAAAAATCAAGGTAATATATTACTACCATTTGCATGCTTTACGGAACATGTTGGTGGTATTTGTTAATGTATGGATGATTGTGTTTGGTCAGATGTGTATAGTAAATCATTTCTAAACTTGATATGAATGTAGTAAAAAGTAAGTAAACTGAATAAAACTGTGATGATTAGGATAAGAACTGGAAGACTAATAAAAAAATAATTTCAAGTTAAGTGACTAACCAAAAAAACAATCAACCTCAGAATCTTTAAATTATAGTCATTCTCGTTAAAAGTTTTAATGCTGAAAATACATGGATAAGAAAATACAAAATTACCCTTAAAAGGTAAGAATGACACGGATTGACCTTGATAGTGAAATTATCCTGAGAATTCGTATTTAACTCGATAAATTTTTTGATTCATCTATTAAATTCTTGATTTGATTATAATATTATTGATAATCAGTTCGTAACTTTTGAGAAAGCACTAGACCTAAAATTCCTGATTTATAAGCAAACACCCGAATACTAACTTATCTGAAGTACTCTTATTGTCAGAATTATTCGAAATGATTGAAATAAATGAGAAGTTTAAATTAAAGGGAAAGATTGAATTGAATGAAATGACTGAAATACCCAAAAATTTCAACATGACCAAAATACCCTTAGATTGTAAAATGACCAAAATACCTTGAATATTGAAATTATCGAAATACCAACTAAACCCCAAAATGATTGAAATACCATTGTGTTTCAAAATGAATGAAATACACTCGAGCCCTGAAATGACTAAATTAACCTTAAGTACCAAAATGACCTAAATACCTTCATGGTCTAGAATAAGTGAATGCCCTTGGATAAATTTTGGAAATAATGATAAAAATAATAAATAAAGGTTGTATCACCCCGAAGGGTTGAAACACGACCCAAACATATCAGACATGCTAGCTATTGTTATAATATGAGAATAAAATAAATACTGCCTGAATATTCATTCATCTCCTCAAGATTCGTCCAATGATGATCCTGAAGGTGATCAGTTCGACACTATAGTGCAATCAATAATAAGAAATGAATATTCATGAAGTTACTCTACCTACATACATGGTAACTATCGCATGTTCTGGGATCAGTACAGTTCGATTGAACTTGGAAGCTGATAAGATACTTGAAATTTGAAATACTATAAATGACTGCTTACCTTTATTAAAATGAATTACCAAAATTTCTCAAGAATAAAATGACTAAAATGCCCTTGTAAGTCTGGTTGATGGAATCGCCCCAAGAATTCCTAAACATCATTAGGGTACATTCGAATATTATATGATCCTATTGTATCACTTTCCTAATGATTGATTAAAATGTTAGCTATCGAACTCTTTAAAAGGGATCTCGCTTCTAAAGTTCGATCAGTTTGCAGAAGTTTCATGTTTTTCTTGCTTGATATTTAGAAAGTACCTCTAGAATATAACTTGATCATCTAATGTGTTCTCTGTGTGCTATATGGTTGTTTTATCTATTCTAAAATGTGATTTGTTATATGGTTGGTTTACGAATATTTTAACTATTCGATATTCTAATTTACTGGTTTATGGATTTACCATTTATGAACTATGACTACTTGATATATGCTCTATGGGTACCTGTTTCACTAGAAAATATAATTATATATGATTTATGGATCATTAAATTTACTCTTTACTATATGAATTGTTTTATTATGATACTGTATGGGTAGGATTCTGGAGTATGGGGG